AAAAAAAATAATAATGTGATAATTTATATTATTATTATAATAGGTATAGGTTCATAAAATAGATATTGTTTTTATGTACCTAATTTTTAGTTATTTATTCAAATTATAAATAAGCAAAAAAAAGGTGTTAATTTAATATTTCAACAGGTTATACCAATTAATATATATATTTTAAATTATTTTGTAGTTACTGAGATAGTGTTTAGTAATATTTGTTTATATATGTTCTGTAGTGTATATTTGTACTGCACATGTAGTGCTTCATGATTTGACACACCGCACAGGCAGGGGCAATTTGTTCATACACATAGTAGCGGTATGTCTAAAACTGTTGCGGAAAGCGACTTCTTTTTCGGACTACTCGAATGCTGTTGGCCGCAGCTTGGTGAAGCTGCGGCCATATCATTTCGGACGATAGGGTAATCGAGTAATCTAATAACGATAGTAATGTACCGTGTCCTGTATCTTGTGCTGTTAAAACATCATCAACCACTTGAGCTAAAGCAGTTGCTGTACTATGATGCTTTCGGAAGCCTGATTGCATTGTTGGAAGTATATTATATTCTTCCAAGAATTGTTTCAGCTGTTGAGCAACAATTTTTTCTAAGGTCTTTGAAAAGAATGCATTCATAATGGATACTGATTGGCCGTAGATCTTTCAAACGAAACTTTGAAACGGAAAGTTCATCTTTTCCTAGAACGTTAAGATAATGATCTTTAATACCTACAGTTAGGATCGTTAAAAATATGAACTGGCACTTCTGCTTTATTAATTGATAGTTTTACAGTTTGTCTTCTGTGTTTCCAAAGCAATTTTGTGTTTTTGTTATTACTATTTACGCATTTTTTTCTAAAAATAGCATCATAACCGTATGTTTAAATTCTTTATATTCTCATTTATTTTCCTCATTTCCAGTCTTGCGTGCCTTTAAGTAGGCCTAATCTCGACGCTGCATATTTTTTTCAATGCAGTAAGCAATGGATGCGTTCTTATTTTGTTTGATAGTTAACAATTTTGGAGGAGTATAGGTGTCAAATAATTTAATTAAATGTACATTAAAAATAGCAACCATATCATTATGTAAGGTCTTTATGTGAACCAAACAAATACAATTGAAATCTCTATTAAAATATTTACTCAGGCCATCGTAATTTTGATCCCCGTTTGATTTGGACGGGGGATCGATCGGAGAGGACCTTTATACGTCTACAATGCGACATTTAACCCAGTACAGGTTAATAGATAAGAAATTTCTAAAGATTTTTAGGGTGGCCAATACTTTTGGTCAAGGGTGTATATAAGTGACCCTTGCCGCTTACCATCAAGTGAGGTCAGCTTGCATGCCAATCGAATTACATAAAAAATATACACATCCATAACCTTTATGTAATTTGCGTAATATGAATATATAATATATTTATTAAAAAGTAAGACATGCATCTTGCATGCAACCGATACGATATTGAAACCTTCAAGAAAAGAGCATATTTCTTTTTAAAAGGCCGACAACGTACTTGCAATTCCCCTGATGTTGCGGGTGCTCATGGGCGGCGGTAATCACTTACCATCAGGTGAGCCGCATGCTACTATCATATATATATAAAGTAACTATAATATCACTTCAAACGTTACGTTGTCATGTGACACCGGTGATACCATTCTCGCATTGTCTTTCTAGAGTACTAAGATCTCATGCCTCTTATCCTGTAATTTCACTGCCTAATCTGACCCTACAACCGAGACGTGTCTTGAGGTACTCGCGCAGACGACTTTTTCCAGTCTATATCATTTAGTGAAATGATTTATCTACCATCTACCCTGAGGCTGCCGCTTCTCAGGTATACATAGAAAATATGCATATAAATTCTCATGTACATAGTAGTACGTATTCTCATGTATACACTTGTACGTAGGTATCCCAATACTCCTATACTAGGCATGAATACATAGATTGTATCTATACTTATGCCCATTTTCACCAACCAAGTCCTAACGTGTCGTTAAGTAAATAACCCTTAGGTTATAGATTAACTAAATTGGATACTTAAGTGCAATCCGTTTTCACCACCTATGTAGGAGTTCCTTAGGTAAATGACGGATTTTTTTATCAGTGATTCAAAATATCGATTAAGTTATCGATTATTTACTTTTGTTGTGATTATATTATAATTATCTTAAAATGTATAGTTATTTTTAATCTATCATTGTCTAACTAGATGGATGGAGTATCAGCTTGTTTGCAATTGTGACTCTTATGTAAAAGATTATAAAGTAGATTTTTGACAAATTTACATCAAATGTATGTAACAGTGGTTGTTTTTATGTATTATTCACCTCCCGGAAGAAATTCTCGAAATTATACCAAATACCATATCAATTCTCGTCACGTGATTTCGAAGAAGAACGGAGAATAAAGTTTTTGTACTTATGAATTGAAATGCTCAAATTGTAAGCTTTTGTACTCGTTCGTGCCTGTTGTATGTAAACTGATAGTGTAATATTGCGAAATGGATGTACGGAAATAAACAACAAAATAGTTTTTTTTTGTATATATTTTTATAAAGTACATATAACATTATATGTCCGGTGTGCTTGAATATGTCAGAAACAACAAGGGGTGTTTGTATCATATGTAGAGATGATCGATGTTACAAAAAGATCGATGTCGATGTAATTGTCGATAGTATAATTTTCGATTTCGATACATCGAAAATTATACTGTCAGTGTTCGTTTTAGTTGTTTAGACTGCTAATACTTCTGTTTTATTGAACTGCAAGTGTTTTTATGACGTCCCACTTTCCTGTTATTATTTTGTCGATGTTATCTAAAACTGAATATCGATAGAAAATATCGATGTTAAATATCGATGAACGTTAACTAATGACTATCGATCATCCCTAATACATATAAGCACGCCTAGTAAGTTATCTACTTCGAGTTTATATCTAACGTGTATTAGCTTATAGGTTTTCAACATGTCCTATAACGCACCCTGTAGGGGTTCTTGCGGGTTATTACACTTTTAATGTATTCAGTATAACTACATGTTCAGAAATCATTGTGAAAATATAGGATTTGGGACTGATGAAAAAAATTACTGGTATCTTAAAAAACACATGGTTGCAGTTATGGTTGAGAACCTATGATCTTGTCTGTACGTGGTTATAATAATTTATAAGCACAAAACAATAATACATTGTATGTCAATTTGTACACTTTTTGTATTTTTAATAATATATGGTGATTTTATATTCTATTTTTTATTTACAAGAAATCCTTTTGTTTATAATACCAATAACTATTTACATTTAATTCTACTTATTAATACTTATTATGTAATTGTATGTATTCCTACAAGAGCGACTAGAATTCAATTACTACTAGCATATTTGTTATACTCGTATACAGGCATTTATTACAATTATAATACAATTATATATTATACTAGCTAACCCCGCAAACGTTGTTTTACATATAAATTTAAATCGCTATTAAGAAATAGGGGTTGGTGAACATTTAGGGTTGTATTAATTTTATAATGCCACATTATAAAAAAAAAAAGTCCAAAACATAAAAAAAAGTTAGGAGTGGTCAACCCTTATCACTTAGGGGTATGAAAAATAAATAGTAACCGATTCTCAGACCTACTGAATATTTATATAAAATTTCACAATAATTGGTCAACTAACATTGTGACACGTGAATGCTATATATATATGTATATATAACATAAGATAATTTAATTATTGAAATAAATTTAATTTAAACCCTTTTAATACAATCGGGCGTTTATTGTATAAACTAATATGTACTAAATAAAAATGTAGCACTGGCCGCTTATATAGGCAGCGATATGTAGATACCTGTTATCTCAATTGGTGCGACGTTCTTGTATCCGTTGTTGTGTATAAGCTAACGTAATCAATTTTTAAACGAAAATTTATCACAAGTAAACTGTTGATTAGTTGTTAGCTGCTTTTATACCACACGTTCTTTCACGCGCGTTTCAGCGGGAAGCCAGCCCGCGCAATCGTGCGGGATTGCATTTAATAATTTTTTGAGAATGATTCATGTAATTTTACTATTAAAAATTCATTTTTATTTGTCAGATCTTATATTTCAGAGACACGTTTAAGATTTATAAACTATTAATAACTATAATTAAGTTTCTGCTCCGTGGTCAGATATCCGCCATTTTACAATGATAATTAGTTATTACAAAACTATTATAGCACGCGGGAATGTGCCAGCTGGCGGCACGCGCGAGCTTTCTCGTTCTTTTGTCAACATTTACATCTATATTCTTTTCTGCGTGAATATCAACTCGCGCGTGAAAGAGCGTACGTAAAGACAGCTAATAAATGAGATAGACGGGTTGAATACTATTTGTAACTCTATGGCTATCTAGAATTATAAAAAAAAACAATGAACAATCTCGATGGTGCTGTTTATAAAGACGTTTTTGATTTTATGAGAATACAAATTAACAGGCACCAAAATCATAAAACTCAAGATGTTATTAGACAGTAACAATAATATTAACTAGACCTATTATTATAATACTGGGGTATAATGGTACTTACACAAAATAAATAAACCTACCCTTTAATCTAACAGCCTGGAGCGTAGATAATAGATTAGGCGAGCCTTGCAGACTTTATCGGATCAAATGTACTTAGTAACATAATTCTAGAATTTGAAACACGTATTATTTTGTCTTATCTCTACCAATAATAAGATTTTAATATAATTAATGATAAAACCAAATATTACTTACGATTTCAACAATCTTTCCCCGTTTGGTAGCCTTATTATATCCGAGTGACGGGCTATAAATTATATGAAACTTATGTTAAGGTTCCGAAACTACCAATAGAAAAAGCGAATTTTTTTGGTTAGATTATTCTTCAAAAGAAAGGCAAAGGGAACTACGCGCTTACAGCTATGTCTGCATTTTAGAGCGAGTACATACATACCTCAAATGTGAAATTTATTTGAGCTGTGTGATTTTTATTTTTATTCGTCGTCGTATAAGTATAAAATGCTCTAATGAATTAATAAAACGTACAATTAAAATAGGTACAGTACAGTAATAGTAGATTAAGACATTTCAAATTAAGCTACGTACTTATGCTAATTATAATACTGGTATATACAAATAACAACAAAAAATACAATAACAAATAGTTACGTAAAATGACAAAATAATCAATTTCTTTTCATGATAATATAATACATAGGTACAATAGATTATTATAATTTATTGTAATCCTAATTATTCATTACTTTATTTTTAGATTACATCTATATTTTTACACCATGTAAATTTTAGATATATTCTTTCTGCCATAGCATTAAAATTTAAAAAAAGAAATAAAAACAAAACTCGTGTCTTTATCCCTGTACACAAGTATATATGGTATGTATGTACACTATACATATTAATAATTATATTTTAATTTTACTTATAATTAATTTGATTTATTATAAAATCGTAATGTGTCAAAATTTTACTTGGTTTGCACGTAAATTTTTAATTCTACCTTACAGTTCAGCTAATATCAGTTGAGAAGAACCAGCGACTCAACTAACGTAGTAATTTAATATACCACTCCAGTTTATTGCTTATTATTTTTGACTGAATCCGCATACCGAATATAGCAAAAATAATCCTCGTTTAAAAGTGCTTACTTATTAAGTTTATTTGAAGAAACAATATATATGGTCTATTCTATTTTGTTAATCAGTCAATTGTATAATTTATGTATCTTAATATTTACATTAGTAATTAAATTAATTTATAATCTACGGTCAAATGCTTCAGCGCGAGCGCTGTTCACGCTTCGCCGTTATTGAAATCTCTTCCCGCCATTTTGGGACCGCATTTTTTTAAATTTAATTATTGCATGGGGCGCTCCACACTTCCCAATGCATTTATGTGGTATTCCCTATCGTTGTATACGTTACGTAGGGGCCAAACATGTTGTAATTCTCGGAATTCTTTCTGGGTATACACTTCAATATCCATACAGTAATGGCGGACATAGCAATGGCCAATGTGGTCACAGATATGGCAACACCGATAAGTCGCTGCGCGTTAGGACACCTGAAGTACTTGTCCCTGAGCTCGAATATTCTGCTGTTATACAACGATCTTGGATACGCACATCTGAAAAATAGGACTTGCTTTATAGTCTGTCTGAGCCAACTTTGTCCCTATCAATTTTTAATTTTTAGGGCTGGGGTACTGTAATGCCCATTACCAGTACCATAGACAATACATTACGTCATTTGTTTAAGGGTAAAGTATGAGAGAATGGAAATGTAAGAGTGGTATCATAGGTATCACATGATAACGTAATATCCGTAGTCTAGTTCAAGTATATTTACGTTATGGTTACGGAGGTTACGGTTTCGGTTTCATCAGACAGGCCGTCAGACTGTTCTCCAGTCTCCCATTACATAAAAAAAAAGGCATGAAATCCACTTTGGTATAGAGCAATATTTTTTTAGTGATGAAGTTACTAAGGTAAGATTTCAGCGCAAGTTGACTAAAACGAAAAAAATCTTTCATGAATACAAAAGTATACGCTGCCTCATTGCAAGCTGAGAGCCTGAAGAGGTCAGGGATGATGTTAGTTAAACCTTTATTCTGTAACAACTATGCAATATTATCTATATATAAATACGTGAAGCAAAAAGTTTGTACTCCTTTTTATGAAAATTGGACGGCGGAGTATGAAAATTCTATCCAGAATTGCAATATTTACGTAAAATTATGCATATAAATACATTAAATGAATAAAAAACAAATTACACACCGTAACATATATTTGACTGTACTGTTTTGTTTATTGTTAAAGTCTGAATAGATCAATATTGTTTGTCTTTAATATTATTTCTCTATGGTCTTACTGAATTTGAGATTAATGAGGGTTGAATTTCGACTTCTGGGCGGCCACTAGTCTTTTTAACTATTATAAGGCATTCCGCATCTGGCCTTTTTAGCATCACCGAACTATGACTTATAAAGCGGCTGATGGCCAACTCCTGCCTGACGGATACGACTTTAGTCTGAGCGAACCGCTAGAGTTCGAATTTAGGCTCAGACCGTCGTAATTCGGCCCCCGTTCTGTTCGAACGGGGATCGATCGGAGGGGAACGGGATTCTTTGATACAACGAATGTTCTTCGAGAAAAGACGCTGGTACATTTAACAGACCCCATGGCCCGGCCCATTCATGGCGCATTTAGTCTACCAATCAAATATAGGCACGTGTTTAATTTGTTTATTTAATAGATAATTAATTTGAGATAAGAATAAAAATAAAAGAAAATTGATTAGTGCAATATCTTATAAGAATTTTTATTATCAGATAATGCAGCGTGGGCTATATACACTAACTCTGAGGCGGAACGGAGTCCGCGGGGTCTGTTAGTTATACATAAATACATTATAACATTCAAAAATTATCCTTAAGGGAGTTTTTTTGGGACTACTCTAAGGCAGTTGGCCTCAGATAATCTTCACATTTCAGCGGACGATAGGGGCGAGTGCAGTGTACTTCAAATCCGCGGAAGGACTTATGAAGCGGCTGAAGGCTAACTCCCGCCTGACGGATACCTCGGCTGAGGCCGTCGTAATTTCGATCCCCATTTAGATTGGACGGGGATCGATGGGAGGGGCCTTAAGAGGGTCAGACGTCGGAATTGTAAATAGAAATTAGCTAGGTATAGGTATATTGAAAAGTCTAGAGCAATCGAGAAATCTGATTAAAATAGATGCTGTACAGGTAAATTAAATGAAATTAATAAAGTTTTGTGATTTGGCAATGACTCATTGTATTGTGATTATTTTATAATAAGATAAGTATGAGGAAATAAAATGCTTAATAATAAATATGACAGATAAAAACCTACTCCTAATATAAGCTCGATGACTAAAACTGATGAAATAATAAACAAAAAGATCATGTGGATGACACAGTTTTTTTACAGAATCATTTTATCAAGTTTTTGATTTATTGTCTAATCTGAGTCATCGTCGGTCATTGTAGTACAATTAAAGTATTGTTAACGTTATGATATTTTTTTTTAAACGAGATATCCAGGAATTGTCTATGTAACTGTCGTACAAATTTTGTACTACATATATAGTGTAATATAATATCTATAATTTCATAGGTACATAATTTGTCCGTAGGTACATTGAGTATTTATTAAAAAAAGTAAAAGTTATTTTATAATTTGTAAGTATATCAACAGTAAATATATAACAATAATCTTGGACGCTTCTCACAGCGCAATTTGGTCCCATACTAAGCTACTGGGTACCAGACAACTGATACATACTTAAATACATTTTTTTAAAATATATACATTACATATATAGAAAACACTGAGATAGAGACAAACAACCATACTCATAAATATAAATGTTTGTACCGTGAATCGAACCTGCGATCATCGGTGCTAAACAGCTAAACCATACTGATATACGCGAGTATTGAGATAAAAGAAAGTAGAGATTATTTTTTCATCCTCGTGATGTGATCGATCTTTGTATCAAAATCCGTCAAGATAGTCAGCTGTTGTCGTGAATACGTAACAAACAGCCAGACAAGACATACTTACGTATTAATAATATTAATAATAATAAAATCAGGACAATTCACACTCTGCCATCTAGATCCAAGTAAAGCTAGCTAAAGCCTAGTTATGCATACATACATACATACATACATACATATTATATATAGAAAACACCCAAAGCGATACAAACTATCATACTCATGAATACAAATGTTTGTGCCGTGCGAAGACTCGAACCCGCGACCATCACACGTAAAGCAGTGCGCCATACCATACCGCTAGACCACCGAGATAGTCTACTATTAATATTATCTGTTACTAATCAACCTGTAGCTGTTACTGAGTAGGACATCTTTTAAATCTACACTACACTAACGAAGTGCTTAAGTAACTAGGGGCGAAACTAACAACGTAACTACCTGTTAAAGACCTCAAACAGTAATAACTGTATTCATCGGATGCCACTGTTTTAATAAATTAAAGACAAAATTAAATTAATTAATAAACATTTTTACAAACACAAATATTGGGAGTTGAGATTCTCGACTTTCTTTCCGGCTGCGGGTTCGTGGCATTTTGCCGACTTGCTACTCCGTAGTTCTATAATACTCCGTCACTATAAAGGCGCCTTCAAATTTGCTGCAGCACAGAGCACCGCGCTGCCACCGCGCGGTGCTCTGTGCTGCGGCCACGCTACTCTGTAAATCTATGTAAATAAAAAACGCGCGGCCGCAGCGCTACACCCGCACTGCGGCCACGCACATTGCATCGATCGACCTTTTGTCAAATGCAATAGTGGTGCATTAGCTTGCGCTAAGTTTGTGGAGGTCAACCTAACACACATACTTGACTAGCAATGGGGCCATCATTCCACAATACTAATAATTCTCATTCCCCGTCTATATTATGTATAAAATTAAGAATATAAATCTATAAAATCTATAAATACATAAATTTATAGATTTCTATTATCTATATATAAATATTATATATATGTATATTTAGTTGATTATCAAACTATTACTATAAACGTCGGTCGTTGTATATAATAAATTATTACTTAAAATTAATATTATATATATATATATATATATATATATATATATATATATATATATATATATATATATATATATATATTTATAGTAATAGTTTGATAATCAACTAAATTCTATTTACCTGATATGATCGTAGTCTTTTGGTTCCATCTGAAACTGCTTCAGCCACAGGATGTCGCAGTCGCATATCCATGGGTTCCCTTGCAGGTCCAGGTGGAACAGTCGGCCGAAGGGCTTACTTAAATCTCTGTCCAGCTTCGATAATCTGGAAGCCCTCACCGACAATTTCTCTAAGTTAAAATCATCGGCGTCCTCCAATACTTCGCGTCCGAAGGCCAGCCGACTGAAATACGTGAGATTCCTATTCCTCTCTAATTCTAGACTTCGCAAACTACGCAATGGAGCGAAGACGTAATCTGGCACTTCCATAATTTGCAAATTGTTGAGCTTCAATTCCCTCAGTCCAGGGACATTAACAAAATCTTCTTCTGCAATCGCTCTAATTGGATTATTTGATAAATCCAAATATTCTAATGTAGTGGGGAACTCGAATATCTCTTCCAAATGATTATCCGACACGACCAGCTGCCGTATGTCATATAGGTCAGCGAAAAACTTATCAGGTATATTCCTAAGACCAATTCCTCTGATGCTAAGTTTCTGTATCTTATTTAACAATCCAAAGCTTCCTTTTAGATCCATGATGCTAGGTCCTAAGATGTTAAAATCCAATATGACTTCTTTCAGATTATTTAGCTGATGGAATGCCAGACTGCTCACCGTTGCCAATTTATTGTTAGCAACATTCAAATACTCTAATTTTTTTATATTCTTAAACACATCTGCATCAATATATGTCAGATTGTTGAAGCTTAAATCCAAAATTTTCAGTTCGGGTAAATCGAATGGTGTTCCGACTATATCTGTAATGCTATTCCTGTTAAGATATAGTTCGAGGAGTGTCTCCGAACGCAGCAGTCTTGAGTCTAGTATTGTTACTAAGTTACTAGAAGATAAATCTAGCGAGCGCACCGTATTGGGTAGTGTATAATTACTTTCTAGTATGTCTTGAGTTTTGAACGAACAATCGATGTTTTCGCCTAGATAATCTTCATTATCATTCTCGTAGCCACACGTACAGATGTCACATACACTTACTGCGAAACACTTATAACACTGCATGAAAAGTAAAGCAATGATGACGACTGACTTCATTTTTGTAGTCAATTGCGCCTAGAAATGAAAGGAATGGCTCAATAACAATACTATATACATTGATATAAGTGATAATGTAATCTTCACAGATAATATTATCAACTCGTAGGTAATTTAAAAAAAATGACATTTTTAATACTTTAACATCATCTCTATTGTGATCTTAGATTTATAATATTCAATTACATACTTATATTAAACGATATTTACTTATTTTAGGAACGGTGTAATTTTACATGTCATATTGAATTGTTCTATGACAATAAATAATCTTCACTTTATACAGATAACATAATATTACACAGAAAATAATATTACTAAATAAAATTTGCTGAAATACAATAATCCGAAGTATCAGTGTAGAATACGTCTAAACAGACAATATAACGTATACAGATAATATAGTTAAGTTATGTACCATTCAAGACTAATGTTATGGACTGTGCGAAAGAGGATCTGATAAGAAAGGGAGCAAGAAATGAGATGACTAAGTATGAACACATCTAGGAATAACAGGGATGAATGGAAGAGAAAAACATATTACGGCGATCACAAATAAATGGGGTAAGGAAGAAGCAGATGACGAAAGCTTAGTTACGAGTATGTACCATTGATGGCATATGTTACATATGAGTTTTCTAAATGTGGTACGGGGTGTGGTGGTACGGGGGAGAAAGGATTGTTACTAATGTGGAGCAATAATCCCATTACTAGCAATGTACCATGTTAGGCTGACCTTCCTCCCTGTTGTTCCCTCTGGAAACCATCGTTATAAATTCATTGCTAATTTACCAGGATGGGCTAACTGACCACACCTCATGCTCATCATATCACCCTCCACTCGTGCTCTGCGAGCGTAAATCGTTAGCACCATTCCATTATCATCGATAACAAAAATTTCGTAGTATACGGGAACAAAATATATGACACTTTATAAGGAATCTGTGAATGATTAATTGGTGATCTCAAATAGACAATGATAAAGAATAGCCAGTCAGTAGAGAATAATGAAATAAGGATGATATTGCTCTTATTGGGTCATAATAGAAATGTGCACTCGTCTGCGCTGATTGGATGCATGATGACACGATAACGAATCCAGATTTTAATAAAATACAATTATAATGTAAAAATATAATAGTTTAATACTCAATAAATATTTGTACGCTTCATATAAGCAGATTTTGTAAGGGACATGTCTTCATTAACATCATGTACTGTACCCAAAAACGATGCACTTAACTTTTCTTTCCTCAAAGCTTTCCTTCTTCCCGATTGTCTATAAAAGATTGCTTTAAGCGATAAGACCGCCTTTTGTATATAAGTTCTTTTTGTAAATATTTTTTCTATGCACAATAAAAAGCTATACGATTATTACTCCATTAGAGTGTAAAATGTGTGTTACCCTCAATTTTATATATGTGTATGTGTGTCGGTAAAGATATAGATTTTTGTTACGGAACTATGTTATTATCTACTATTTAAATAGAGAACAAACTACGATATCTACCTATGTTTGCACTACAAATAAGATTACTGCCGACCGTCCTACATAAGTGAAGAATGTCATTACAAAACTCTTCAATGAAGAATAGGATAGAAGATTATTTATTTAAATAAACTTCAAATGGAAGCATATGGTATAGTCATACTTACTTTACTTACTTCTTTCGGAAAGCTGTCTCATAACTTATTCCTATATACATAGAATAGATTCTATTTCTATAGGAATAACCAATAACTAATTCTAATATACGGGTGGCAGGGTCGCCATATTTGACGACCTCGGTGGTCTAGCGGTCTAGCACACCGTTTTACGACCGATGGTCGCGGGTTCGATTCCTCGCACGGCACAAACATTTGTATATATGAGTATGATTGTTTATACCGGTCTGGGTATTTAAAAAAAAATATCTATGTATTTGTATCAGTTATCTAGTACTCATAACACAAGCTTTAGCTAGCTTAACTTGGGCCTAGATGGCGCTGTGTGAATTGTCCTGAGATTATTATTATATAAGGGTGGCGCTTGTTAGGTAATGATATATACAACGTTTGAGTGTACATTGCCTCGTTTATTATAATAATCAATCCTTATATAGGTACTACTTACTTACTAAGTACATTATTCATCCTTACACCTACCTAATAAAATTCAAAATAGTAATTCAAATTCAAAAATCATTTATTCATGATTGTTAGTAATGCGGACTGATGATCTCACTGCTAGCAATATACCATGTCAGGTTGACCTCCACGCGGTACCCTTGGAAACCACAGTGATAAATTCTTGGTGAATTTGTCAAGATGTGCTAACTGACCTGACCTTATGCTCATCTTATCATGATCCACAGTCAGCGCAAGCTGGTGTACCATTCCATTATATATACATCTATACGTATAAATAAAATTGGAGTGTCTCTTTGTAATATTAAAATAACTGTTTTTTACTACATGCATATGAATATAAATACGGTACATACACCAAAATATATTTTTTTTAAATTTTTGTATGTCTGTCTGTCTGTCTGTTTGATCCGGCTAATCTCTGAAATGACTGGACCGATTTTGACGGGACTTTTATTGGCAGGTAGCTGATGTAATAAGAGAAACTTAGGCTACTTTAATTTAAAAAAAATAAAGTTAAATTCCACGCGGACGTAGTCGCGGGTACAGCTAGTATACAATAAAATTATATTATCTATGCTTCAGTATGAGAAAAAATAGTATTGAGGACTTTAAAAACGTAATATTAAACAAAACAATGATGATTACATTTTTTTTGTTGTCTGTGCGTTTGTGTTTTTAATCCTAAAAACTGCTTAATCGATGTATTGTAGTACCTATGCTTCAATTAATTTAGTTTTTGACCACTGGTGGGGCACCAAAAGAAGAAGGTAGAAGGGTACTTTAGTCGATCATGAAGAATTCATAAGGCACTACAAACAATTGTTTTTTCTTTTAGGTAATAATAATAATAATCCTGGACAATTCACACAGCGCCATCTAGTCCCAAGCTAAGCAGAGCTTGTATTATGGGTACTAGACGACTGATATAAATACATATATATACATTTTCTAATTTTCTTTTCTAAATACATACATAATATACATAGACCCACACGGTCTCATGAATACAAATGTTTGTATTATGCCAAGAACCGAGCCGCGACCATCGGAAGCAAGGCGGTGTGCTAAACCGCTGTACCATAGAGGTCGTCTTTGTGCTGTTTTATTTGACACGACGTATTTTATATCATACTAGCGCCCGCGACTTCGTCCGCGTGGAATTTGATTTTATTTTTCTAAAATAAAAGTAGCCTAAGTTACTCCTTATTACATCAGCTACCTGCCAAAAAAAGTCCCGTCAAAATCGGTCCAGCCATTTCAGTGATTAGCCGGAACAAACAGAGAGAAAAAAATTGTAAAAAATGGTATTTTGGTGTATATACCGTTTTATTCATATGCATGTAGTAAAAAACTATGATTCGATACAAACGGATACTCCAATTTTATTTATATGTAGATATAAGATAACAAGTTTTTATTCTAATTAACAAATTAAGACGAAATCACAGTAAGTTCATTTCGGCATCAAAGTCTGCTCAATGAACAGTCAACACTAGGCTTCCAAACTACATGTCTGTCTTGATGTGTATCCAAACTATATTCATTGCCTGATAATGTCCTTATTTAGAGGAGAAACACGTGTCGCAATACGTTTATAGATCCAATAAAATAAGATCGCAACTTCTAGTAGCTTCTAGTAGTGGTCAGGTTTCCGCACTATATGTTTGGTCTCACACATGCTAGTGATAGTGAAATTAAAGAAAATAAATATAAATCAATTAAATAATGAAATGAAAGCAAGTTTTAAAAGTAATTTAGTTTTTGTACAGAAGTTTCTGTTTTCTCTTCTCCTTTCAACTTTTTTAATTTTTTTGTGTGTAATATACATATATATATTTTTCTCTCAAGGGGGGAATATCTATGGGACATAGTCACCTAGATACATCAAAATAATAATTGCATTTATTTAATAATGTCTAATAAGACAAATTCAATATTGTGTACTAAGCACTGCTGTGTCTAAACTGTGTCACCCCACCTTACATTTTCCTATTGTTATTTAGTATATAAGATCATTATTTCTATGTACATATTGTCAGTTTATCATCATCTGTATATTACAGACATCGTCTCGACTAACAACATAGTATCATTTACCCGCAACATCCTTTTTATTTTTTTATTTATTTTCTTTGACGTTAGCAACTTACAACAACCTAACTGCATCTATAGGGTTATTAGTCCTAAATTCTACTTTACTATAGGATTAATTCTCCATCAAAAATAGCTAGAATTTATTTATTTATTTGCTTTGAACAGGTTACATTGTTCTTACAAATAAATGCATAGTTATATTTAAATGATGTTAAAATTAAATTTAATAAATATTTATAATGAATATTCATCATAATGTTTCCCTATAGTAAAATGTAATTAAAAAATTATAGCTACATCAAACAAAGAAATGACTCTTTATGTTTCGTCACGATTTTTCATTTTCACAATGATTTTCAATTAAATGATTAGTCAATAATGAAACTTTGCATGTCATTTGTGAAATTTTTAATGCAATGATTCGTCAATTATGAAACTTTGCGGGTAATTTGTGAAATCATTTGTAACTTGTTTCCATTATGACTGTCATGTAGTGACGTCACAGTCTGACGTTACACTGATCTAACGTCAGATTGACAACTCGTGTTTATACATGTTTCAAAATATATATATGAACATTTATGTATGATATGATTTATTTATTTATTACCACATAAAAAATAATATAATTTGTAGCGTGTAGTTCGGTACAGAACCGTATTGTAATTTATAATCCAACACTATGTATGCATAACTTTTTTGTCCAAACCATGTTCCCAGTATATCAGGGTCAGGTCTCTCTGCACATTTGGGGCCAGAGAAATCTGTTTGGTGGTCCGAGTA